GACGCTCGTTAGTCTTCACACGCTGATCATTGGTGGTCAGTGTTACTGGTTTATACTGACTGTTCATGTTCTCCCAACATGAACAAACTGTCAGCACACGACAAACAGCCTGAATGTGCTGTAGAAACATCAGGACAGTCCACTCAGTATTTTAGGAGCCAACATCTAGTGTCTTCTCATGAACCTAAGCATCAGTTTAGGATTCAATAATTCTCCTAAACACCGTTGAACCCTGAAGACTTGGACATGTTGGCAGTTAGAACTCCTGATCTTCTGTCAGTATGAGGAGACAGATGGAAATGGTCATGAGCATTACTTTCACGTTCATTAGAGTGCTTTAATCAGAGTGCAGGTCTGGGATGACTGTTTCTCTTCTATTTCTGCTGTTGAGCCAAACTCTGCAAATGGTGCTGTAAACAAATGATCTAGTTCCCATACCGGGAGTCGAACCCGGGCCGCCTGGGTGAAAACCAGGAATCCTGACCGCTAGACCATATGGGACCTGATACTCCAGTTGGGTTGGGTTGAAATTCTGATTTATCTTGCAGGAACTTCGCATTCAGGTCGACCCTGATAAAGGCTACAAGCCAACACTTGTTGGCCTTTACACTGCAGGTGTTGGTGATCAGTGGTACTGGTTTATACTGACATAGAACTGGTTCTATTCTGGTTTGAAAGCCTAAATTTCTACCAAAGAAGAGAAGGTTCAGATCATAAAAAATGTAATTGGTTTTGGTGTGCAGGTCTGGGATGACTGTTTTCCTGCTTCTACTTCTGCTGTTAAGCTACATTTTGCTTTTGGTGCAGTAAACAAATGATCTAGTTCCCATACCGGGAGTTGAACCCGGGCCGCCTGGGTGAAAACCAGGAATCCTGACCGCTAGACCATATGGGACCTGACATGTNCCCCGGTATTTCTTCTCCACCCCAAATCCAGTCCTGTCTCCACACTATTATGTTTCTGTACAACGTAACTGCATTCTCGCTTACACTTTGCTGGCATTTGTTTCTGATATATTACAAAAACATGAAAACATTTTAAACCAACATGTCTTGGCCAGACATCAGCTGGGGCGGAACATGTCTCCAGGAAAACCCAAAAAATGGAGGAAAACCTTCAAACCTAGTTTCAAACCCTAATATTTTTATAAACCTAACCAAGCAGCGCAGGTGTCTAATCTTAACCAAGCTTTAACTTGTACTGATCATTGTCAAAATGTTAACCATTTTTCTAAACTTTGCTCCTGCTGTACCTAAACATAAGCAAACAGCAAGTGACAACCCAAAGCAAACAATGAGTGTCGGAATAAGGTTAAGAATAATGATCCTACGCAAAACTGGTCTCCTGGGTTAAAGTCTAGTGCTGGCTTATGCCTCCAGGAATTCTCTGGAGACAGAGTTGCCCGATCACATAACTCATAGCCTGTTAATGACCCCAGGATCAAGGTGTAAATGGTAGTGAAACTGCCTGGGGAGGGATCTCAGGACTGCATTATAAGTACCTTATTAGTGGTGTCCTAGACCCCTGACCTAAGGTATTTACTAAATTCATGTGTTGTCACCCTGCAGGACAGCCAATGTTTCTGGTTTTCATTCATGTTACCAGGTTTACCTTCCAGGACAGACTTACTGCAATGGCATTCAGATGTTAAAAAATTATCACTGCAGCACAGCAATATAGAAAGCTATACCTAATAATAAATGGTAACATTCCCATACTGTGAGGTGAACCCGGGCCACCACCAGGAGTCTTGACCACTAGACCATATGGTCACAAGGATCCAGTTGGTCTGGAAATTCACATTTATCCTTGCAGGAACTCTTTTATGTCTTCATATTCAGGTCAACCCAGATAAAGGCTACAAGCCGACTCTCGTTAGTCTTCACACGCTGGTTGTTGGTTGACCACCAACTGGAACCATCAGTTTAGAATCCAGAAATTCTCCTAAAGACAGTTGAACTAGTGCTGTTAACAAATGATCTAGTTCCCATACCGGGAGTTGAACTCGGGCCGCCTGGGTGAAAACCAGGAATCCTGACCGCTAGACCATATGGGACTCATACTGGTGTTCAGAAGGATCCAGGTTGGTTTGTTTGAAACTCTAATTTATCCTTGCAAGA